CTTTACTTGTGACCACTCAGTGTATGTTGTGAAAACGTTTCCAAATTCGTTAAATATTTGCTTTCAGTATTTTCAACAACTATTGCAAGCTTACAAAAAACAAGCACTACTTCCAAAAGTCAGGTTAGTTATATATCACTACATACATTTTGATGCAGAAATGAAATTAATAACAATATATTACTGCCTGTTAAGAAGGGTTGGAAAATTACTTCGACCCATGTTTAATATCGTCCAATAAACAAAAAAATCAATATATCTAAACTGTTTTTGTTGTTTTGTAATTAAGCATAAAGCTACACAATGAGGTATGTGTGCTCTGCCCACCACAGGTATCGAAACCCGGATTCTAGCGTTGTAAGTCCGCAGACATTCCGCTGTGCCAACGGGGGTGGGGGGGGTATTTAAACTGATATATAATCTAAGTTTACTTTGGGTATAAATCTAGTCTGTATCAAAGGGACAGGCCAATTCAAGAATAAAACTAATTCCCATTGAAATTATTGAAAATTCAAATAAACGGGTGTCTTCATTCTTAATAGCGTTAATTGTTCCAGATAAAAGAACTATATGATGACATATCAAAACTAACATAAATTTATAATCCACACATTATTTCTGAACTTGTGGATATATAGAATGATCACATTATAAATGACATTTAGAAAAGCACTCATACAACCTTCAGCTGTATAACTGCTTTATTCAAGAGATTTTCCATTAAATTATATAAACAATAGCCACTTGAAGTCAATTGTGTTTACCATGTAAAGATTAATTAAGGCGACAATAACAAGTAATATGATATCCAAGCACGTATTAGTTATTTCTTGTAAAGTTAACTATATGGAAAGTTTAAACACAGTTTATAAAATAATGTCATAAAAGTGCATGATAGATGTCAGCAGCTCACTTGTTTTACTGAGGTTATACGATGTAACATGATGAGCAGATGTGCTACTCGTGGGAGTTATAACAAAGTAAATTAATTAGCTGCAGAAACATAATTCTTTTCAACTTTTAAATTCTACACTTCCTACACAGACACCGAACGAAAAACGAAGACAATTTGATTAAACACTAAATAAAAAGAGAATGTTAAAAATCTGTGCTATGTTCCACTTCAAGATCTGTCGATGTCTGTCAGAATAGATTTAAAAATTACAATATGCTTTTCTATTACTGTTCTAGAGATTATTTTTGGCGCTGTGTTATGGAATCCGCTCATGAAAAAAAAAACAAAACAATAACTCAACTTTGGAACTCAATTAAATTATAAATCACATCGCAAAACGAATTATACTTCTTTTTCGATGACGAGGAACCCACTTTGAGAATAATAATGGTTGGAGACGGCTTGAATGGGTAATGAAGAAAACTTTATCATCAGGTA